TCCACTTCTCTGTCATGTGTAAACACTGCACTCCTGGGAATTTTGCCCCATCATGAGCTTTCCCAACCACTATTTCCTGTCCTTTCACTTAGCAATCCATTCACTCAAACACTATCTGCAAACTCAGACCACCGACTGTCAGAACATACATTCCCTATATGTCTTCTTTCCACAGTCAAGTCCTTGATCAGTCATTGTGCTTGTTTTGGAAATCTCCCAAACTGCGTAAATCCAGCTCTGCAACTGACACGCTTACCCATGTGTCACCTGAATATGGCAGGACAGAAACCACTATGTCTGATCCCAGCAAAACTAAGCACAAAGCTCAGGTGGGTGTTCTGGACTGCCAGCTTTCTGACTGCATTTCCCTGCTCAGTTCATTTTTTTCAGTCCCTTTAGAAACGATTTTATATCCAACCTTTTCAGACATCTAAATTTTAATTCTCAGTGATCTCACTTTTTATGTTATTTAGAAAGCAGAATGATTTCAAAATGAACTCCTCCATAGTTCCCCAATCAAGTTTCCAATCTCTTTGCACTTTGTAACCATCTTTGTTCCTTTCATAGTGAGTGAAAAAATAAAAAAAACAGCCAAGGTGATTTTCAGGGACAATTAGGAGGACTTATGTTCTAGATCAGCGATTCTCAACCTGTGGCATCCTAACCCCTTTGGAATCTAACAGTCCTTTCATAAGGATCATAGAATAGATATCCTGCATGTCAGATATTTACAGTACAATTCACAACAATAAAAAATGACAGTTACAAAGTAACAATGAAATAATTTTAAGGTTGGCCATCACCATAGCATGAAGCACTGTACTAAAGGGTCAGAGTAAGAGGAAGATTGAGAACCCCTGGCCTACACATTAATATTTATTGTACAACTATATTTAAGAGAAGGTTCCATTGGAAAAAAAGGATAGTTATTAGAAGTTATAGAAGAGAAGAGTCTAGGAATGGACCAAATGTAACAGTTTATGAAGATGATTCTGCAATGCTGTGGAGAACATGTGATCTTAAAAGTTATCTCTCTCTCATTCTCCCTCCCCCGTGTGTGTGTGTGTGTGTGTGTGTGTGTGTGTGTGCGTGTGTATACAATCCTAGGGAGTCCTTTGGGAGTCAGTTCTCTCCTGCCACCTTGTGGGTTCTGGGGGTCAAATTCAAGTTATCAGGCCAAATGGACAGAGAGAGAAGAGCAAATACTTTGGAACTCTGATTTAATACTACATTAAAAGTTAATTCCAGTTGATCTAAATATAAAAATAAGGCAATAAAAGATTTAGGAGGAAAAGCCTATTATAATGATACAGTATAAGCTAGACTCTTAAATAAGCACAGAAAGGAAAATAACAGAAATTAAATTAGAATAAAATTAAAACCTAGTCATTAACAACCCCATTACTGAAACAGCAAGAGTGGAAGATTCGTGCAGTACAAACAGAAAAAGAAGATTTTATAAATAGTCATCACACTCCATCAAGGATTGAACAGTCACTTAAACAGAAAATGGGAGGACATGAATATTTACTAAAAGACACTCGATATTATTAGTTATTATGAAAATGGAAATTTTAATCAGGACAGCATACCAGTGTGCAATGACCATGAGTTCTAAAGTGGAACAGACAACACGAACTGTTGGCACAGATGGAATTTGCTACATAGTTGCAGCGATTCATAGTTCAAGCTCAGAAATGATGACATTGGGAACTGCTATACTGCTATACTGGGGCAGTATCTACAGAAGTCACACACACATGTACCTGTACCTCAGCAACTCTACTTGATAAAAAAAAAAACAAGAGGAATGCAAAGATCTGCTCAACAAAGCACGACAAATGTTTAGCAGTATTTTCATAATAGTATCAAACTGGAAAGCACCAACATTCTTGATGATAGAATGGGTAAATACACTGTAGCATATTTACACAAAGGAACACTATCACACTGAGAGATTCAACGAGTTACATCAATAGACGCCAGCATGGAGAAATCCATAAGAGTAAGACAATGACTTATTATGAGAGAAATCCAATTCAGATTGCCTGTCTTTCCTTAGGTCTTTGGAAATGTGTATCTAAGATTTGCAAATCCCATGATTCAGAAGCCATCATTATGATCTTCTTAAAGGAGAAGTGGTGTTATTTCTCTGGGTTACCACTTGGAGCAATTCCTTAAGAATAATAAAGTTACCTTGAAATGGATTGAATGCAGGCAGACACTTTCTCAATTATCCTTTCTGTCATCAGAACAATTACGAGCATCCATTGACCACATAGGATCATTATCCCTCTTGGACTCTTACCAATCTATGTAAAACAGGAACGTGTGTAACAATGATAGCTCCCTAGATTCTTGTGTTTAATAAAGATGCTTATTAAATAAAAATTTAATTTAATTCACCACAAGCATCATTGTCATCAGAATAACGGAACATATTCATAAAATTATTAGTGATTTCTGGAGAGACCCCCCATCGCTCCTGAAGCTGAATGATGCATAGGCCTAGAGATTTGCACTTCGACTGGCCCTTGAGGTGACTCATTCTGCACTTCCAAGTTTGAGAATTACCACCTAGAGAGCAGGGTTCCTCAATGGTTCCTCAGTTTGCAGACAGTAGTCTGCATGCACTAACAGCTTCCTGATGGTGACTGATATGCAGTGTTGCCAGAGTGGTGTGATATAAATTGTAGAGGGAATTTGTTACATTAGCTAGGCAGCATAAAAGACGGTTTCACATCTTGATTCAAAAAAAATTAAAAACGCCAAAGATATAAAAAGGAGTGTTGTGTTGATGGTATCGAAAGTGAATTCAGCTCCAGACATTAGACTCTGCTCAATTGGCATAAAGATAGCCGACTCCTCTCACATTTCACATAACCTACTTTCCTCTTGAAATAATCCATCCCACCGGGACTTTTATCACTTCCTTCCTTTTCCCTTTAGAGGATGCGGAGAGCACAGACATGTTCTCACAGACAGGATAAGTGCCATATTCTTGGGCCTGAAGTATTGACATTAAGCCCAGAACTAGGCACTCATGACCACTTTTTTTTTTTACAACTGTACTCATGTATAGGAAAGTCCCAGGGAAAACTCCAAGTGAGACGTCTCCCCACTGCTTAACTCCAGTAAAAATCTATATCAAATCACAGGAGCGATTTGAACTTTTCTTGTCTACAAAGCAATTATGCAACTTATTGGACGGAACATGAAATGTTAGCAGGATTCAGCATCTTCTTACTGCATGCTTGGCTGCACTGATAACGCTGAGTCAGCCCTTGATTAAAGGGGAAAACCAGGAATTGTTTCCATCTTCATTTTGTTCCATCTTATTAGGTAAACTTCCAGATAACCGTAAATGCAGAATAGACATTTTATCAGTATAAGATGTTTAGGGCCAAACGTCCCGATTCAGCGAAAAGCCTTGAACACACTTTATTGAGTAAAGTAAGTTTATATAATTCAGTTTCATATTTTTTTCAACTTCTGCTGGCTCTCCATGCAAATTTGAATTCTATAAATCAGTTGAAGTGTCTTTATGACACGTTCATTTCATGAGCCAAGGATAAGGACGGCTGGGAATAGAGATGAAGAACGTAATCCTAGGCCACAGATGGGCTTATTTTTCCAGCCAACAATTGCTCTTTTATAAATATCAAATGCTCTTGACTTTACGATGCAATGAAAATGACTCTTAAGGACACTGAGACCCTTCCCTTTTCTCCTCCCCATCCTCTCCTTTTCTTTCTTCTATTTACCATTATTTCCTTTTTGTATGTTTGAGATAGGATCTCACTTTGTAACTCTGACTGACCAGGAACTCACTGTGTATACCCCTCAGAGGTCTGCCTGCCTCTGCTTCCTGGGTGCTGGGATGAACATATGTGCCACCATGCCTTGCTCTCTACTTCTTCTTTCTGAAGATGAAAAAAGTTTTTTGTTTTTTTTGATCCTAGTGATGGCAACTTTTGACAGTGTGTTAAGCAGCGGAAATTATGCTGTAAGCAAAAGTCTTTGCAAGACCAAGATTCCTACAAAACACTGAAGTCTTAATTTTTCCAGACTGGTTACTGGCTACTCTGACAGCATCCAACTCCAAGAACAACTTCACTTGCAGCAAGGGTTCTCTGTCCTGAAACCAAACTCACAAGACACATAAATTGAAGCGTGAACTGTTCAGGAGTAGCTTGACCCCTGACCCTATTGCTTTACCTGCCTTTCAATCTGAATTTGCACCACGTAAACAAGTTATAATGATGGATATTCTGATAGAGTAAAACCAGGAAAATGTATGAACACATTAAGAAGATTCTATTTAGTCTGCTAAATAGAATGACAGCATTCAATGCATTTCAGGTCTCTGCACCATGACAGTCACTCAGACTTCCTCCCCACTCAGAGAAACAGCAGCAAATTTCACTGAACTTCATGGCATTTTCAGAATTGTCTTGGCAGTTAGATATGGTACCATAAGAAAAAAAGCACCAACGAAGAAACAAAGAGACCAACAGAGGCATATTCCATACCCATCACCCTGGACCCCCCCCCTTTTTTTTCTGCTTTTGTGGCCTCTCTTGTCTCTGTGACGACCTGGGGATTTGGTCATGCAATTCTAGATTTTTGTAACAAAGAGTTTGTAAATGACACCTTGCTATGTGATTTCTGCTCTGTACCCGAAACAAAATGTGAACATGCTTGAGGATCCAACCAGAGTCCAAGCAGGAACCAACGAGTTCTCTGGTTGCTGGATGAGTAAAAAAGCCTGACACCATGCAAAAGCTCACAGCTAGCTGTCAGGGAGAGGCAAGGCAGGAGAATAGGGCCTGGCTATTCACACTAATATTGAGAGACTGTACATCATTCACCCATTCATCTGTTCATTCATTGGATTGTTCCCACCGCCCGATACTTCCTGTTTCTCTCTTAAATGAGAAACCAATTTAAATGAAGGTTTACGATGTTTTCAAATAATAACTAGAAGTGGTAACACTTACTTTCCGGTAATAAACTGGCTCCTGGACGGTGTGCAAATAGGCTGGACGTAGTAGTTCTCTAGTTTAACTCCTTCCGCAGCGAGTTGGTCAAGAGTGGGCGTCTTTATCTCAGATCCGTGGTAACCCACGTCTCTAAATCCCTGATCATCAGCTAAGATGAAAATGATGTGGGGTTGGGCGGTGCCCGGAAAGCCTGCTTCAGGTCTCTCTTCAGCTTGAGCTCCCAGGGGCCCCTTCTCGTCTAAGCCCTGGCCCCAGCACAGGTAGCCATAGGTGAGTAGGCTGAGGACCCAGAAGCCTGCCAGGGCACCCATAGCCACTGCCACTATCTTTCCAGGCCACACCCAGCCCAGAGGAGGTGGCGGAGGCTGAGGCTCCGCGCTGTCCCTGGGGGCCATTCACTCGGGTCCCAGCAGAGACTCCACATGCAGAACCCTGCCCACTTTGCTGTTACTGGCACACTCATGCACGCGGAGGGCTAGATCCAGCTGAAGGTGGCAACAAAATCCTGCTCCCTTCCCAGCTGTCCCCACTTCCCACAACTTCGATGCTCTGGAGGTGATGGTTTAACCCGCGGATGCTGGAAAAACTAGGAAGGAGCAGGTCCTCTCCATCAGTTTGCACTTTTTACTCTCAGCAGTTTCCACAGAAAAGTTAGTATCTTCGCAGAAAAGTTCTTACGAAGAGAAAAGAACAGACAAGAAAGGACTTGATAGCGGCACAGGGCAGGGACGTTTGGTGTTCATATAGTTCTCCACTTCGTCGTGGAATAGGATTGTGCCCATGCGCAGGCAGGCACCAGGGGTGGTGGAACTGGCATCAGTCCCGCGGCCCCGGCACTCCGGAAGCCTTGCCAAGTTGCTCTGAGCGACTGACTCCCTACTTCTGGATGGATGACAGGCTGAGCCTAGGGGACCTGCTTCTGGCAGGCCGCCTTCCCGGCTTTTTCAGGGATGTTTCCCCATCTTCCGCTGTGCGTTAGTCAATCTCCAGGACCCCTTCTCCAGGGGCGAAGAAAGGATCCTGTTCTAGAGCCGGCCTTCCCACCTCTTCGGCTATCCCTCCTCTGCCCCGCAGCGCTTGGGAACACTCACCGGATCCTGGCCGGTGATCGCCAGCGCACGCGTGCCCTGTGGGTGCTTCAGCTGCCCCAGCGTGAGCTTGCTTGGGTTACTGACTTAACTTTGACTCCTGAGTCTTCTCCCTCTACTCGCCAGGCAGTCGCAGCCGGAGAACCATGCTTGCTGGCTGAGGGCGGGCCCAGGCCGGGGAGGCGCTGGCTCTCCGCCCTCCTCTCTGCTAGGAAAAGGATGGACCCGAGAAGGGCGGCTTCTTTGCTGCAGGGCGGCTCCCAGGGGTCCCCTATGCGATGTCCCGGTGCAGGTTGTCTTTCCTTAGGTCTGCAAATGGAAGGCCCCCTTGCCCATCCCGAAACTTTGGAAGACACTGGAACAAGGGAGAAGAGCAACAGATGACTGCTCACTTTTCTTCCTTGCTTTTTTATCCCTCCAGTCTTTGCCTTTTCTTTTCTCTTTATTTTTTTCTGACAGTCACAGTTACAACGTTTCAAGTAGTGCTTTTTCTATCAACAGTTGATCTCTCCAGTCCGATTTACTCCTTATTCTCTTCCTAAGTGAAGATGTTAAGAGTGTAACAGCTTTTTTCCTCCTCTTTCCAAACTTTCAGGGATTTGCCCGCAAGGAATGGAGAGGTGGGGGGAAGGGAGGGGGGAGAGGGAGAAGGAAAGGGAGGAGAGAAAAAGAGAGAGAAAGAGAGAGAGAGAGAGAGAGAGAGAGAGAGAGAGAGAGAGAGAGGAAGGAAGGGACGGAGGGAGGGAGGGAAGGGAGAGAGAGAGAGATTATACCCTCAAGAAGGGAAGCCCATCTGTGTGTATAGTTTTGAGACCTGGAACTCACTGTGTACCTGAGAATGACTTGGAACTTCTGATCCTACGGCCTCCACTCCCTCAATTTTAAGATTCTTCCAAGTCAGGTTCGTGTAGTGTTGGATCAGTTCCCCAGCACTTGTCAGCTGAGCTGTGCCTTTGAGTTCTTGCAGCAAGCATTGCTTCCTGTCTAGCACCTTCGGGTTTTCTCTCTTTTCCCCTCTCTTTCTTTTTGTTTCTCCTCTTTTTCTTCTTCCATCTCCCTCTCTCTTCTCCCCCCAACAGCGGCTTGTTTCCTTTGAGAAAACATACTCTGGCTATAATTGTAGCCTTTTAAGACACTGCTCAGAGGCAGGATCTCTATGGAAGAGGCAGTCAAAATTCCTTGAGATATGCTTTTTGTTTGTTTGTTTGCTTGCTTCCTTGGTATTTGTTTCAACACTTATCTCACTGAACACCTCCCGAGGACTGGCATACAACACATTAGTCTCAATTAGTGGCAAAGTCATAATTCTAAGTTTCATTTAACTGTAGCTTTCCTTCCCTCCTGGTCCTACAGTTCCTGTCGAATTCTCAGTCAAAGCTGGTGAAACGGAAACTCAACCTGGAAGACAGACTGCTGTTTCATGCAACTAATTTCACCAGCGCTCACAGGGCGTTGCTTGTTCTGGTTGCTCAGGGGAGAGAGGTTGAGATTTAGAAGATATGTTTAGAACTGGGAGTAGCAATTCTGAGAGTTTAAATTTCCAGACTTATAAGGAAAGTCCTACTGGAGATTAGAATGCTAGGGGGAAGGGCTCCAGGCTTCACTGGCCTCATGGGATGCTAGAACCGAAAGGACAGAAATCATCTGATAGACTCAGCTACTTTTAATTGGAGAGCTCATGAATGAAGTAGGAGAAGGACTGTTTGTGTTCTTGTTTGACAAAGACAATCAATTCCAATTATATTTCTGGCAAGAAAATTTTAAGCTGACGTTTATGGAGTATTTCCTGTGAGCTAGCCATAGTACCTTAGACACGCATGCACTGCTAAGTCTTGATGTGGTTAGTGCCTCATATATTTTATCATTCTCCCCCAGCCATGAGAAGCAATCTTCCATTCCACAACATTGGACCAGCCGAGCCAGAAATGTTAGTGGTAAGAAAGGAGCAACTGAATCAGAATGTTTCTGCTACTAGAACCTATATATGGTGGGAAAGAAACATTCTGCTCAGCTACCACCCCAATGCTTTGTGAAAAAAGCATTCTGGAGAAGAGAAAAACAACTCAAAGAAATCACAAAGCTTATGTTTATGCTGTATGTGGTTAGGAGATGAGGTAGTTCAGGGAAATGACCTTTAAACTGAAGGGGTATTGTTTTATTTATTATCTTCTTTTTTTTGCAGAAAATTTGGGCATATAAATCTAAGTTCAAAGCTTCTTCTCTTTAAAAGATGATCTTACAAGTGGGGTTTAAAATTGTTCCCAGCCAAGAAGCACTAACTGATCTCAACTGGCAGTTAAGATCCTATTGACTGTGTGCTTGGATTATATGTACATAAACTCAACATTTCCTACCATAGAGTTGAATTTCATGCACTCTTGTTTTAGGAAATAGTTTTACCACTCTCATGAAATGTCAAGTTGAAATATATGTACAACTTAGTAGGTATTTCCTCATTTTAGAACCAACTTTCTTATACTCAGGCATCAGTTGTTTCCATGGAATCTATTCTTAGGTTTATTTCAGCAGCTTAGGTATACTTAATTATAAATAAAGCCCATTTCATTTCATTATGGAGTGGCCGTGTGTCTTAGTTACTGTTCTAATGATGTGAAAAGACATTGTGTTCAAGGCAACTTCAGGAAGAAAGCATTTAATTGGAGGTTTGTTTACAGTTTCAGAGAATGAGTCAATTACCATGGCAGCAGGAAGGCAGGCAGGGTTGAGGAAGAGAGAGAGAGAGAGAGAGAGAGAGAGAGAGAGAGACATACACACACACAAAGGCACACACACAGAGAGACAGAGAGACACACAGAGATACAGAGAGAGACACAGAGAGAGAGAGAGAGAACTAGAGAGAACCATCTGGGACACGTACAGGAACTGAGATGAATGAATTCCTGTGACATCAGATACTGAGGTGACCAGAAAGTTCTGAAGAGTTGGCACTAAACATTTCGGCCATTAGAAATGGATAGTTTATGAGTAGAACATGCCATTTTAGCATGAGCTCTTCTGGGCTGTATTTATAGAGATAGACTCAGCAAACGAAACTTCAGTCCATGAGTGTGACTGGTTGTAATGTTCTTTCAAGATGGCTGAAACTTGTGAAACCTTTTTATTAGAACAAGTAGTAATGAAGTGTATAGAAAGAGAGCTTGGAGAATTCTTTTTCAGCCAGGGTTTGGAGAAGTACAGGGGAGAATCCCACAATTGCTGGAGAGTTTGAAATTTTTGCAGTAACCTGCTCCTCGGTTAAAATACTATGCTTAGGTTATGAGAACCAACACTGACTGAAAGCTCAATAGAATTAATAAACCAAGAGGGGAAAACGGATGCACATGTGGGGAACTCCAAACAGAACTTTAATTTGATAATATAAAAATAATAAAAATTGGGACAAATTAGGGGGATGGTCACTACTATAAGCTAAATAAGGCGAGCACACTGACCTGTGGCTCTATCCAGAGACAGAATTAGGGTGTCTCATCCCTGAAACTGACAGTAGAGTAGAGCATTTAGTATGACCCATCTGAAGGTGGGAAAGCTAAGAACACCACAGACAAACTGGACAAGTATTACTCTGAGGTACTCATGTTCAAGTTCTTCACAAAAATGACACTGTTCATTCCTGTGATGTGAGAACAGGATTGCTTTAGCTTTACAAACGGCACATGCTTAAGTTTTACAAAAGGTGGTCAGACAGTATTCCTGCCATTTCACTATTTTTTTCTGTCAATACATGCTTATTTTCAAATAAGCATGTACTCGGATGTTTAAAAGATATAACCCATTTCAAAGGCAGGTTTAGAAATGGGGAAAACAGTGCATTAACCGCTTATAGATGACTCAAGAGGTTTAAAATCTCATCAGAGCTTCATTGGGTTTATGAGTACATTAAAAACTTAAAAATGAAGAAATATTGCAAACGTTAAGTTAAAGCACGAGTAATACAGAACAGATGTCTGGCCTGATGTGGTCATCGTGACACGGGCCTCTGTGTCAGTCAGCTCTGCATTACTATCGCAGACTACCTAAGGGAGGCAGTGCAAAGAGAGAGGTTTACTTTGGCACAATTTTAGGGAGTTAAGTCAATGATCTTTGGCCTTGCTGCTTTTGTGCTAGTGGCAAAGCAACACATCATGGTGGGAAAGGCTGGGGCATCTAAGACAGGGTAGAAATGGTCAGGGCTCCCCAGTCCACAGTTAGGGCATAATACTAGTGACCGTAAACCTCCCATTAACCACCATCTCAACTGTTTTATTGCTTCCTAACAGTGGTATTGGTTGAAGATGGATATTTGAACTTGTGAATCTTCAGGAGCTGCTCATTCAAACCATCACAACCTGAGCAATAAACTCATTATTGAGTATAAAACTGATGCTGCTTGAGTTAAATAAGACCAGAATGGTTAACCAGCTGGGTTAGTAATTGTGTGTGGCACTCATCTCTTCTGGGGAAACTTTAGGTCATAAACTATAACACTTTTAAAAGAAAAGGTGCAGGAGGTAGTGATTATACAAAATTAAACACTCACCACACAATAGCAAAGTTTTTGACAAAAAAGTCATGAGATTTGAACTGCCAAAAAAGACTCTTTTTTTTTAATTTAACATTTTTATGTGAAACCAAACTCTTAAACAATATTTTTATAATACCAAAACATGAAATTTTCTATAATTTAAAAATATGACCCTATTGCTAATATGGTAACTAAACTATATATATATATATATATATATATATGTATAATATAATCACCATCAATTAAATGTTACCCAGTAAAAGACAGGTGCCAGCACTCTGCTGAGTGGCTTCCCGTGAACTATCATAGTGTTTTCAGAACCATTCAGGTAGGCACATGAGAGAAGCTAAGGTTGTTTGTATAAAGGGGTGGGATCTAGGAAAGGACCATAGTAAAAGAGCAGAAAATCAAATACATAAAGGCCAGGAAGGAAAGAAAATAAACAATAAAAAACCCCACCAGTAAGTGGGAGAGGCTGCCAGGACTGCCAGGCATAGTAAGGGGGACCCATGGCATAGAACATAAATCCTGGGTGTCAGGTATCACCTTAATAAGGATAAAGTCCCTCAAATAGTTTATGGGTGCTTTTTTGTATGAGTTCACAAACATTGATAAAGAAAGGATTCCAAGGACAAAC